TTTTTTTTTTTTTTTTTTTTAATTAACTGACTAGAAATCTCCCCAGTCTCCTCAAATGCCAGATAGTACTTGATGTAGTTTTGATTTGACCTTTGAAATATTGAAAAGTTATGTTTATGATGAGGCAGACTGATTGCAGACTATATAGAAAAAGCTGGCTTGAAACAAAAATGTTTTAAATACAAAAATATATCAAAATCTTTTTGCCTACTTTTACAACAATTTTTTTTTCCTGTTGATAAGTTCAATTTCTGATATCTTAAGTTCAATATTAAGATGTTTGTGCTATGTTGTCATCAAGAAAAAGTTTACTTTTCTTGTCAGATGGTGAAGATACAGTTGAATGAATCATTCTGAAAGGTCATGGGTTTATTTTCAAGTATTCCTTCAGGAATTTTCCTTGGAACCTGGCGATACTCTAATTTTGAAGACCTGTCTTTAGTTCGAATTACTTTTCTGCTCACTTTTCTCTGATTTGATATTTTACAAGCTGCTGCAGAGTAGTYACTTGTAGGCATTATCAGCAAGCCAAAACAGCTAGTGAATTGACTGCAATTCAACCACAGGGAAGAATCTGAGCCTTATGGTAGCCTTTTTTTTCCCTGAGATGAGTCTTAGAAGTATTTTTTTTATTTGAAGAGATCTGAGAAGCAGCAAACAAACATAATTGCTAGCAAAATGTGTTGCTTGCATTGCTATTGAATGTTTGAGGTCCATGTTTTTTCCCCTCTGTCTAGCTGTCAGTTCATGACTTTCCTGTCAGTTACTTTATTGTCTCTAAAAATCTATTTTGTTAAACAAAGTTTTCCTGCAGCTGCTTCATGAAAAAAGTTGTCCTCAAAACTCTCATAATCTGTTTGCTTAAAAGAGCAAGTACCCCATATTTCATAGGAATGAGCACTTTTGCCTTTTGCATAGAACATACCAGGCAACATGGCAGCTATTTTAAACAATATTTGTATCTGAGAAAATTTTTGACACATTCAAGTGTGCTTTCTGAATGTTAATGTTAAAAATACTTTTTTGTCTCTTGCACCGTCCTGATAAAATTACTTGTGATATGGTACTCAGGGCAGAAGCCAGTTTGTTCTACAGTTCTGTTCTATTGTGATGCAATAAGTTGAAAGATAGAGTTTAATATACATTTGGGTAATAACCTCTAGAGGGTACATTCTTTTTCTAAGCCACAAACCTCTGACAGATTATATGAAGGTTGCATATATGTTATTTAAGAGTATATAAAAAAAAGTAAATATGCTCATAAAAAGTCTTTAGTTTGTGATATTCATGATGAAAATGTTGATGCTTCAATTCTGTATTTGAAGCATCAGGAGTAATCACACAGCTGTTGTTTATGTTAAAGTGATGTTGTTTGTCTAGAGCATTAAATAAAACTAATCTTCATAGCATGTTATTTAGTATAAATACTGTATGCAGTAGATTTAGCCCATAACTCTTACTTTTCCATACTTACAAAAATGTTCACTTGAGAAGGTAATTAAAAGTGTTCAAATATAAAAATATTTTAGGTGGAAAATTAAAAAAAAAGAAAATTGTATATATTTGGTTTTAATGCATTCCTTAATCACTTTAAAATATTTTGTTGTACGGCTTTGAGGACAATGGTGTGAAGTGTCCTGAATTCAGACTATGGAAATGAAAAATGATTCTGTGCTCTTTCATTTTAGGAATACCGAGAGTTGCACAGTGTAACTTCACTCTGCCTTTGAAGTTAGTTTGCTTTCCAGCTCAACCTTCAAAAGCAGCAAACCACAAGCTAACTATTGATACCAACAAACCTCCCATCAGTTTTGCCACCATTTTCAGAGGTAGGTTTTTAAATATKAAATGTGTTAGGAACTCCCAACAGGAATTGTTTGTCCATGTGAAATAGAGGTAATTAAAAAAAGTCATATTATGGCATAATATTTTAGTAATAGTTCGCCTGGGGCAGTATACCTGCTTCTGATAAAGCTGCGTATTTCTTTACATGTTGTAGATCTAATTTTTATGTATGCAGAAAATAATTTTGCATAAAATTGCTTAAGCGGTGTTGCAATTGGGGAAACATGGGCATTCATTTAAAAAAAAAGATGAGCAGGGCAGCAGAGGTGGTAAATATTGTATGTAAGGGGTACAGTTGCTTTGTAAGATGACTTGTGGAGTATTTGATATATTGGTCTGAAGCTTATTTATATATTAAATAATTTCATCAATCTTCTTGGACCAATAAGAAGACTTGTACACAGTGTTATTTTCTGATGTGCAAACCAAAACTATGTTCTRTATTCAGCATTGTATTAAAGTAGCATGAAGGAGAAATTCGGTTCCATTCAGGATTGAAAAAAGAAGAATGAAATTAGGTACTATGAAGTGTAATGTTATGAAAATAATTTTTGGTGTAATTATGTGCTCATTATTTGGAAGAGAGAGGAGGTGGATGTTACCACAGGAATACTCAGCAGTACAATATGGTGTAATCATAAGCAACAAATAAAACTGGAGGTTGCATTACACAAAATGTTTCCATGCAGGAAACTGCTATCATGTTACTGTGCACTGGCAAACTGAGTACTGRTTGCTGATATTAAATAAAATATAATTTATATAACTCAAAACTGTAGAAAAATGTTATCTAGAAATTTGAAAAGGAGAATTAAAAGGAAGTGACTCATTTAGCTTAATAAAACACAGGCAAAATGAAAAAGATAGTACARTTGACTTCAGTAAATATTTTGTGGCTATATCATGGGTCTAGATGATCATATTAGCACAATTAGAAATTAATAAACAGGGCTTATAAAGTAATTGTGAGTAAGTTCAGTCTGGCAGTGATTAAGCTTTTGAACTTCAGATGACTAAGGTTTTGGAGCAGTTTGCTGAAAGCTGGATAGGCCAACAACTTTAATATGGTACTTTTAAGGAGTAGCTGCATTTCTCCGTGTAAAGCTTATATACTATATTTGTCTGAAAACAGTAAAGTAGGCTTTATTGGTGTGCTGGGTTGGTTTTTTTTTTCTCTCAACTGGGAGTGCTGTATAATACTTGAAACACAGCAACTTTTTTTTAAGGGTCTGTTTTTTTAGTTTTTTAAGTGTCTGTTTTTTAAATAATGGACTTCCATTATGGCTAAGCAATAATGCTTTCACAATAGCATTGTAGTAAAATTGTATTTTACTTTTAATCTAGGGATGCATTGTTAATACAACAAAAAGCATAGGACTAAGAAGGTGTTAAAGTATTCTGATTTCCATTAATTCCATTTAAAGTGATTAAAAAAGTATGCTGTTTATGATGTGGTTTGCAAGCAAACTTTGAAATATTGGTGAATGCAGTAAGAGTTGTATCTCTTCTCATTGTTTTGCCTTGTTTTTAGGAGAAGCAGTGGGAGTAGTGGTGATAAACAATAGTTTTTAAAATACAGTATTTGAAAATTAATCCTTTTAAACTGATATACTYCACCACATGGAATGAAAAGAAAGGTGTACATGGATGGACTTTGCAAAATAGCTAGTTTTAGCAAGGTGAATGTTTGTTTTACTCTGTGCTGAAAGCTAAAATTTAAACATTAAAATGCTTAAGCATTTTAATGAAGATAATTTCTGCAAAATTTTTGCATAGGTATCTGAATTAAAGGTGACCTTGTGTCTGGTAAAAGCTGGTAGTTTTTTGGCTTTACACTAATCACAGTTCTTTTTAGAGCAAGACTGAACCYCTGGGAAACCAACCTTTTGTTTTGAGGCTGGGGAACAGAAACAGTGTGTGGCTCACATTTCACCTGTGAATAAAGGAAGAATCTACCGAACTGCTATTTGTTACTTTTGAATCCAAAGAAGGGAAACAATCTCATTCATCTGCTTGTGCAAAGGTTGATGTAGCCCTGGCTGTCGATTGAAGGTTGCTGAATGCCAGTGTCAAATTACAGAAAACAGTATTTAACTTTCTTTTTCAGATTTTGTTGATTCGTCTGAGGGTGACTCGGCAAATGCTCTGGGATTTCAGTTTTTAACAGGTTCAAAAACCACTCTTCTTGCTTCAAAAACATCACGTAAGTTCTATCAGTATTAGAGTAAAAGAAGCCTAATTATCAGTTACTACATGTACAAATTGAGAATATGGACCACACAAAGGATAATCAATGTTTGGGAATTAACACAGCAGTTTCAAAGTGTTATCTGATGGTTTCTTACCTCCTCTCAAGTACAAAATTCTGTAACAAAACAAAAAATCGTACTCAAAATATAGTACAGTATGGTGGTAGTTCTCTGAAGAAATTGGATTTTCTTAAAGTTTTTAGCAATGTTTTTATTCATAAGCTAATAGTGTCACCATAATAATGGAAAAACACCTTTTTTTTTCTCAAAGGAGTTTTAACGTGTTTGGAATTAGTCACGTACTGAAATTTTTGGAAGCAATTAAAAAGCAAGTTTCTAACTTTCCACTGACTTTCAGTAATCCTTGACTTAAATTAGGCATCAGACCCTACTTGCTTTTCTGCATTTAAGTAAATGCCCATCACTTATCTTCAGATGCCTGTATATTTGTAAGTAAGGGATTATGGATTCGAGATCCTTTCTATGATGTTTACGGAGTGTATGCCCATACATGCAGATATGTTGTTTCCTGGGTCAGTGTCCCTTGTATAGAGCAGTTTGTGAATTAAACAGTCCTGTTCTAACCATCTGAATTTGTGCTCTTTGAAAGATTGTTTCACTTAATTTTCAAGAGTTTATGGACTTGCTCTGTGCAACTGCTCAACTTGCTAAACTCTTTCTTGGCATGTGCCTTGGAACCAAATCAGTTCAATTGTGTTTAGCATTTTGCATGCCAGCAGAGCACAAAGTATTCATTTAATACAGCAGACTACAAATTGAAAAGCTAGAAAAGTGATTGTGCACTGCAGAGAGCTCAATAGGAACACTGTGTGAATGCTTTGTGGAAACTGCTTTGAGTGAAAAATCACAATTTGGTTTGTTGATGTGAAGTTTTTTCAGCACAGATAAACTTCCATACTGTTTTCAGAAATCYGTATTTATGATGTGATATGAAATATTGGTGGGGTCAGCTGTGAGCTATGAAACGATATTTAATACCTTTTCTAATGTAATCAYATGTATTAAAAACAGAAACTATCTGGAGAATAATTGTCATTGTAGCAAGAATAATTTTACATTTCTAAGGATCAAATCTATTTCTATTGTTTTTTGTGTGCATTATTTATGTGCTGTTTTATTATTACTTTGTTTTTAATATTTATTTGAATAATAGTTCTTAAACAGTTTTAACTAATCAGATGTGCAATGATAATTTTTAAAAACTAAAGAATTGAAAGGATTTCTAAATAATTGTTTCCTGGATTGCATTTTAAATCTTTGATTTGGACTTTGTTTTGCATRGCTGCTAAATCTGAATGCTGTAAGRACAAATTTGTGTCTATGTAATGAATATACTTTAGTTTCTACTGAAGGCCATAACTTTTARTCTCACACATCCCTACCCCCAAGCCTCAGTCTTTCCCTCTCAGGTTTGTTTATTCACCAGCTAGGAATGACGCTTGCAGTCTTAGAAGAAACTTTCCCACACTGCTTTACTTGTGAAATTCACTTTACAAAGGAGCTTCACAACTTCTGTTTCTTTTAGTGTGGCTACTCATTTACTGTGTATGAGAATCCTAACTTAGAAAACAAATGAGTAGTATGATGTCACTTTCTKTTAGCAGCCTGTTTCCAGCTTCCACTTCATTCATTGGATTGGATTGGATTAGATTGGTTAGAGAAGGTCTTAGGGGGAATTTGCTCATTTGAAATGTTTCCTAACTAAAAATTATTTAAAGGTAAATATTTTTTAAAAATCTGATAGTCAAGCACAATTCAGAATACTTTTTATGAAMAGAGACTACTGATAATACAAAAGCTTTGCTTGGTAGAATGTCACAATACTAAAATGATTGTGCTTGACTGAACAGATCTGTGGAACTAATAAATGTAGATGAAATTATGTATTATTTGGTAGGTACTTACTCTGCTGTGTGACACTGAGTTTATACTTTGCAGAAGTACTTATGCAGAATTATAATTGAAGAAATATTCTTCAAAAAGAAACCTGAAGTTGTAGATAAGTTTTGGTTAGAAGTAATGGTGTTTCAGAAAAATAAGGGAAATTTTTTAAGATCAAGCCTTACTTTTGGTTTTCCATGAAAGGAGGTTATCAAGGGCAGTGTAAGGAGACCTCGTTTTCCATATTCCTTATCAATAGTCCAAGTTCTGAATGGGAAAAGCGGCATGTAGCAATGAAGGTCTTCAGGTTGGGTGTCACTGCTGAAGATGCGAACAGGAGTGACATCTGTTTTCATATTAGTTTTTAATTGTATTAGCTAATTCATTTTGAACAGTGTAATAATTGAAGATATTAGTTCCAGTTTGTCAAGACTGCTGCAAAGAAACCCAGCCTGAAGARCATCTTGACAGAAATTATATATTAAAAAGTAGCTTGCACCAGCAAGATTAAGACTTTAAGGTGTTTTTTTTCTGGCTAAAATTTTTAAAACTGAATTTTAATCAAACTGTAAAGAAGGCTTGACTGCTAACTGTGGCTGGGTTTTTCCTTCTGATGTGGGTTTCCTAGCTGAGAAGTGACCTGAATCTTCTAAACTTCCAGCTGGAAGAGCACCTATTGCTAATGCAGGTTTTACTATTCAGATAGCCTGTTGCAGTGTGAAAAGACTTTGTAACCTATTTAACTTGTTGGTACCCCTCAGTTTCTTGCTTTTCTGATTGAGAATTTTCTGAAAATCTGTTGTAATTTTCTGTAATGGAGATTATTTTAACAAAAAGYTAATGCAAGTTGCTTAACCATAAAAGCTTGGGATGAACAGAAGCAGTTGTTTCTTGTTTTTCTCCTGTACTTCTGTTTAAAGCATGTGTTTAGTTTAGCTACAGATTCTCAGTTTTGTAACATTTCTAAATCTAATTTGTCTTTTTCGAAAGTTGGAAGATCATATAAAGCWAATGATTGCAATGTTCTCTACTCAGGCCGTGGTAAAATTAGATTGTGTTTGTATTGACCAACAAACAGTGTATGGAAACTAAGTGTGCATTTTGGAGGAAATAAGTTTTGTCCATTTTAAACCATTAATGTATTAGATATGTCAATTATAAATGGAATGACTGTTGGTTTGGCCTTAAAACATCTGAGCTAATTTCCGTCAGGGAAAAATCACTTTAAGGCAAAGTATGATGATACATCCAAGTAAGTCCAGCCATTACAATTGTGAGTGTTTAAAAAATGGATATTAGGTTGAATGCTATCTTTAGCAGATGGTGTTCTTTTCTTTAACAAGCATGTTTTTAAATAAAACTTGCTTCTTTCCTGTTACACTATAAACAGAATTTGTCATTCTGTATTCAGTGAAATATGTATCCTGGGAATGATGCCAGTGGTAATGTCAAACAATCTTGAATTACTAATGTTGAGCAAATTTAAAATAAGTACATTCAAGTTTTAAAGAATTCTGGTTAATTTGATTTACTGTGGATGTTTTTAACAAGGGCAAGAAAATGAATGATTTTCTGTCAAATCCTCGTACATGCATTTCTGTCTATCTATTTCTTTTTTTATTAGYTATTGGCAGATGTGTAATGAAAAGATGTAAGGATCTTATGTTTGAAAATGTTTTATATGAAAAAATTAAAAGGCTGCTATGATTTTCCACAATGTTTTCCATAACATTTATTAGTTAATATTAGTTAATTCTGTTAATTAAACTAATATTAATATTAGTTAATTCTGGTTTCCTAGAAGCTGGAGGGAGGGTTATACAAGTGTGAGCTAGAAATCAAATCTCATTCCACTAGCCTGGTACTTTGAAATTCACTAAAATCTCTWCAGTTAATTGAATTGCAGGGACAGGTAACAATAACTAACAGGATTTGGTGTTTCACTTCTGTTTATATTAACACTTTCTTTTCTACACTACACCATTTTTACAAAGTCATAGTATGTAGATGGATAAGAATAGTGTTCTACTAATATTAATTGTACTTAACGTGAAACATAGCACTATCAATAAAATACAAGTATTTCTTTAACGTTAGTGGATATACATTCTTTAGTAGACTTTGGATGCAGTTAACAAATTCGATTTGTGTGCTAGCTAGATTGTTGTATAGTGAATTTATGTGTCTGAAAACTGTGTTTATTAATAAGTCTTGTATTTATTCTTGTGTTTAAAGAACGATACAGGATTCAGAGTGATCAGTTTGAAGACCTTTGGCTGGTAACGAAAGAGCTCATACACCGACTAGAAGTACATTTCAAGAAGGAAAACTGCAAGGATTTTGCATGTACCTTTTCTGGTTCAATTCCCCTGCAAGAATATTTTGAACTAATTGATCGACATTTTGAGGTGTGTTCCATAAGATGAGAATTGCTAATGTTCTGCTAGTTTAAAATTGTATGTTCATGCAGTGATTAATCAGATTATAACTATAGTATCACAGGCTTTCAGAAAATAGAAAGTTGTATGTAAGGGAAAGTCCTTTCAGATTTTGAAAAACTGCCCTTGTAGAGGTAGCACTGGAGGCTCCAGGAAGTTTGTCAGACCAGAAATAAAAGAAATGTGATTACTTTTTCCTCTTTGACGATGCAGGTGGCAATGAAAAATCTCTGTAGTAGATTCAGCTAGCTTGTAGAAATAGGTAACAAAATAAAATATATGCATTCTTTCCCCCACATCTTTTCTGTTCCAATTAAAAAAAGAGAACAGCTATTTGAAAATTTCTCTTAAACTCCTTTAATGGGCAAAAGCAGCAACATAGGTGTGCAAGAATGAGAAATACTACTGGATGTTCTTTCATGCTGCCAAATTTTCTGTGAGGTGGAGCCGTCACCACACAAAAAGATGGAAGTTGTCATTGAGATTTTCTGGGATTTTTTGAGTAGTCAGCCTAGATCCTTGTCTGTATCGGATGCTCACAAGTATTCATTCTATTGTCTTTAAACTAATTTGAAAATTAAAATGTTGATTTTTTTACATGATGGATAATGTAGAAATACCTTAAACACAGGCTTCTTTAGATTGTATACCAGGCTTAAATTTATTCACATTTGAAATRTGGATGTGATTTTTGGGATGCTAATTTAGACTCTAATTACGTTGCAGCTGGCTCTTTTGCAATTTATGAATTTTTACTGTAATTGTCTGGTCCAAAAAATGTCAAATGATCRTTTATGCTTCCATCCTTGTTAGTTTCAACCATTTTTTTTTTTTTGGCAAGCTTAGGAGAGCTGTCCCTTACCTGAGATGTCCCTTTTTTTCCTMCTACTTTTAGCAAAACTTCACAGTGTTTCTTTTTCCCTTAGCATCCCTGAACTATTTTTAATAATTGTGTACTGACAGAATGACATTTGTTTATTTTTGGATATACTCTGGTACATAAAAATAAGAAACTTACTATTTCTGTTCATTTTGGGGCACTTTTGCTTGCATTTGGAAATCTGTGTGTCTTGATGTTACTTCTAGTTTATTCTGCAATTTCTGATAGTTCTGCTGCAGGTATAGCATGTCAGCTGTACATAGGTATCATAGCTTTTTGAAAGACTCATCTTTAGTTACTTTTATTTTAGAGGCATATACTGGAAAGTGGTGATTAAAAGATTAAATAGGAATTTTTGTTATCTGGGCACTTGATGTACAATGTTCGACATCTTGTGAACACTTCAAGGAATTTTGTTGCTGTAGCTATCAGTCTACTTAATAGGAAATAGGATTTAACTTCAGAAAAAGACAATTGTTTAGACAGTACAGAATTCAGTACTTCCATTCATGCTAAGGGAATAACCATTCACTTTYTACTGCAATGAATAGTTAGTCCAAAGCACTGTATAAGTGTCATAAATGGCAGATCAAACGAAGAAGAAGCCTACATGTCTTGATGGTGRAATTTCATTCTTGTTAATAGGCTTCGTGATGAGATATTTATGCATTTTCACAGGTTATTGTGGCTGTTGATAATTAGTTTAATTTCAGTGGCAAATTATAATTCTTGAAAGTGCTTTATGAATGTGAAAGCTTTATGAATGTGAAAGCTTTATGAATGTGAAACTGGCATAAGCAACATCGTATTTGAGTATTACACTCTGTCTCAAAAATTGGCCATCCTTCTCCCATTTCATTTGGAATGTGCATATATAAATGTGTATGACCCTTAACCTGAATTCTTGAAAACCCTTCAATTGCCAGCTACGTTTGAATGGTGAGAAACTTCAGGAGCTGTTATCTGAAAGGGCTGTACAATTTCGAGCTATTGAGCGGCGACTGCTGACACGATTCAAAGACAAAACTCCAGCTCCTCTTCAACATCTGGACACCTTGCTAGAAGGAACATTCAGAGAGGTCAGTACAGTTTGATTATGAGCCTAACCTTTCTTTATCTTGTTGGTAAAACTTAGCTTAAAGCACATAAGCTATGCTTTCCTGGTTACATTTACCATCCAAAAGACCAGGAAGCAGTAATTTGTTTAACCTAATAGTCCCTGTAACTTTCCAGATGATTTGCAATAGTTTTATTTAATCTGCGACCACAAAATCTTTACTCCTGAGTCATACCAGCTTGACAGCACATCATTCTTTCCTAACTGATGTTGATAGTGTAAATATTTTATAGTTCATGTGAAAATATTTTATAGTTCATAGCTTGTGTAAATATTTTATGGTACACTGTAAACTGGGGGAATGGTTTGGCTGGTGTAACACTCACAACAAAATTGTCTGAGACTGACCATGTCCTTCCTATGGGGATTTATGTTCTAATCGCTCCAGAATGTGATAGCTGCAGAGGAACAGTGTTTAAAAAAAAAAATCCTTCCCAAACCGTCCTCATACTGGATAAAGAATAAACCAATTTTTCTTCCTTTTCTGGCCTCAGTTCTGTGTTGCTTTAGAATAACCTTTTCATGATGCGTCCCCTTTCTTAAGAAGTCATTTTAGGTGTTTGTGCTTTTCTGTTGGAGGATCTGATTTTATTTTCTAACATGCCTTGTTTGAGAAGCTGAGTCACAATTAGATTGCTTACTGGAAAAAGACTAATCTTTGTGCAGTGTTGTGTATCACAACTAGAATCCAAAGGTGTTAAGGAAAAGTATTTTCCCATTTCCCCTTACTGTTTTGCCTAAGAAAACATTTCTTCAAACTGGASAAAACTTCCTTTCCATGTATGCTTATCTGCCATATGTCAGATTTGCTTTTATTTCAGTCTTTGCTGAGTTCACAGCAATATTCCATTCTTTACTGAGTTCACATGAGTTCACATGAGATGATGTAAATTTGAAAGTGGAGATTTTCTAGTTGCTTTAATAAATACAAGATATTGTGATAGATGGGCTATTCTTTAGCCCTTTGAAATGRCATGACTAAATAAGCCTGAAAGATTGACATAAATGAGTTTCTTGAGTCTGCTTTTGCTGTGTAGAACTTTTTGCCTTTRAACTTAAGAGCAACTGGGATGTACTTGACAGTCTTGTGCAGTTGATTTGAAAGCTGAATTCTGAGAATATGGCAAAAGTCAGGTTGTTGCAATAGATGCATATTGCTGAAGCTTATTTTATAAGCCCCTTCAAAYCAACATTAGGTGGGTGCTTTTCTTGACATTACTGTTGTAGGCTTTTTGAATTGGAATTAGTGTAGTTAAAAGAAGAATGAGGAAAATTTTATTTTTTTCAAAGAACAAATGTTTACATTTTTTCATAGTTGTTTAAACTTGGTAGATTTTTTGGAAGATTTACTTTGTCATTTCTTTTCTTTGTGGGAATCCCCTTCCAACAAAGAAGTGTTGTTATTGTTACTACAAACAAAATGTAGTAAAATGGTGGTCGCCATGGAGACCACACTGCTACATGTGTTGTTTTGAAAGTGAGAGCTGTGGTAGGATTTCATATTGACTCTTCTGTGGGGGTGAAATGAAATTGCTCACTGTGGCATTTTTGGTATKAAAAAAGACTTGTTTTTTGTTTTATTCAGTATCATATCTTGTCTTTATTTGAACAAGTATGTCTAATGTCAATAGTTGAGATATCCAAAATATCATAAATGTGTTTTCTGAAAAGGAATAATGAGGMTGGTTAACTATGAACAATATGAAGTCTGACTCCAAAAATTCTTTTAAGCCTGTAGCTTTTTGACATTGAAATAATTATGCCTTTTATTTTCTTATAGACATCTGAGAATCTCATCTCCTCATATATATTTCTTATATATAAAAAGTTACATATTTTTATAATGAGAGAAGAAAAAGTTGCCTTGTTTTATTCCCTCATTTTTCACTAAAGTAATTGTTACATACAAAGCAAAGCAAGGTTTTGTTACTTCTTACATTGTGTTTTGTACTCAAAAGGGAAATGTCTGCATTTTGGTTTTATATTGTATTGCAAACCTTTTCATCYAGAACAGAAGGGGATTTCCAGTTAGTGTGAGTGTGTGAGTGAGTGTTCTTTTTAACACAGAATCTCCAGGATTTGGGCACTATATGAATTGCATTCTTAATAGAATAACTGTTGTAGCGTAGGATTTTGCTTTTAATCGAAGCTTTAGTATTTTAACCTCTGCAAATCCACAGGGATATAAAGATACCTTTTATTGCTGCCTGTATTTCCTTGCATCAGAACAGTTATATAGCACATGTATAACCTGTATGAGCAACCTCTTATATTCAACTAAATACAAATCAAATAATGAATATTCAGCTCATGTAGTTTCATTGCCTAGGTGTGATAAATACGTACTTCAAGCATGTTCTGTGTGGTTTCCTTGCCCACCTTCAGATTGCTATTAATTTCTGAACTGATTCAAATTTTGTAACTAAAGTAGATTGTAAATGTTAATTTTCAGGTTTTCAACTTCGAGTTACARTTATATTTGTGTGATATGTATGTAGATGTACAATGCATGTCAAAGTTACAGWTGTCAAACCAGAGAAAATTAATCAWKCTGCATTTGRTTCCCTGCTAAAAAGCATTTCTTATTTATGAACTGATTTTTTGCATTAATCCATGTATACTACCCCCAAGGCAGGCTGTACTTAGTGCTACAATAAAATTACTGATCTGTTTATTAAGGAACTTCAGTCTTAATTTTCATCTTGACAATGATGAAGAAATGTGTAAGCAGGCATCACTTTGTGCAATGAAAAAGCTTGCTTTTGGTTTTACACTCCTGTTTAACATTTTCTTCTAGAATTTGACTTTTTGATGTAATATTTTAGATATAAATGGATTGAAGTGAGTATTAACAATAGTTAACGAATGATGAAATGAGGTGTTCCATTCTGGAAGGATAAGGAAAGCTTTTATATGTATAGTAGTCTTGTACATTTGAAATAGGAAATGTTATGATTTTTAAARAGGATTTGTAGGAAGGTGCTATGAAAATAATGGAACAATCAATTTGCAGTAGATGCTATTTATATGCCTATGAATTTCTTGGTCTGCTAAAAAAATTAGTTGGATATGCTGCTAGCATTTGGTCTAAGAAAGGATTTTAATTAGATACATTTAAAATCAGTTGAATGATAGTTGAGCTTCCATATGTTTTGTAGTTTAAAGGACTTCAAGTGAAATGAGRTTACAACAGCTATCATAAAATTTGCTGCAAACAGCGTGTACTTTGTATAATGCTCCCCTACAAGAGATATGTTATTGCTTGGAAGTGTAGTTTAATGATCTTTTTTGTCTRCAATGTGTTTTCTGTCATAATAGAAAAGAGAAAAAAAAAACATAGTTTGGCAGTAGCTGCCGGTTCTTGCCCTGAAATCCTAATTTTCATGCATTGACTCTTGGCAAACATTACTTGGATTTCCAGGTACAAACTGGAATTAATAAGTGTCATAAAAATGAGATGCTTCAATTTTTTATTTCAACCACGTGGATTTTATCGTACTGAATATAAGCAATACTAGCTGTAAGCTGTGTTTAACCCTGTTTGGAAGCCTATCACAGTTACATTCTTACAGGGAAAGAGGAGGATGAATTTTAAATGTGGGGTGGAGTTCTCCTGGGGCACTAACTGTTCCTTAACCAATTTTAAATACTTAAACCATGAATCTGAGACAAGACTGAGCAGTTCCAGGTTATAAAAAAAGAATGTTATGATAAAGCAATCATTTCTAACTTATGAAGCTGTCCCTTCATAATTTTTCTTTCTTTTTCTGGCTTCTATTGTAATACAAACAGATTTGCCCTGTATCCTCACACTTCCAACATATATGGTGTTGTTTCCTTTCTATTCTTTGATGGCGCTATTGCACAGTACCTCGGGTTCCCCATGTTCTGAGGTTTCTTCATCCCGACCCTGTAAAACCACTGACTCTCTTGTGCTTTCTAATGATGAAATCCTCTACTTTTGGCCCCAGCACCCCTCTGCAGTTGCTTATTTGTGCACTCACTATAAAGCCAGTGCACGAATTATTGCTGACGGGCAGCAGCCATCTACCCAGACAAGACGGATGATACCCTCCGTCTCAGTAGAAATAGTTAAATAGTGTTTCTCCCCTCCCAGTCTGCTAATTATATATATATATATATATATATATATATATATATATAAAAGAACTTCATTATTCTGCCTCTTCATGTTGCATTAGTTTGTGTGGTCATTGGCAATGACAGTTACTAGGAATGGACTGACAGAACAAAGCTGACATAAATGGTCAGGACAATGCCATAACTTTAGACATCTAGACTTAAGAACCTTTTCCAAGCTGGGTTTCTATTTTTGATCAGTGATACATTTTAGCTTTTTCTTCAGGTGCTTTATATATTTGAGACAATCTTCTATTAGTGAAAGGACCTAACACACTTTGCTCATCAGAACTAAYAGATGATGAAAATTTACTTCATTTTCTCCTAATTCAGCTATTTATATTAATATTGAATAATCKGTCTCTCAGAAATACTTGGCTGTAAATAGTAATAAAGTGATTTTCAATGTGATTTCCAGATCCTAGTCAGTAAGCAACTAGAAGTTGGCTAGATTATACTCCTGTATTTAGTACATGGTTTGTTTTGACCTTATCTTGGTTTTGGGTCTTGTAAGTTCTGTATATGAATGACAGCTTATAAATGCACATAGAAATTTTTCACCTAAAAGCTCCTCTTGAAACAAGGGGAGAAGCTTCTAAATAGTCTTTCTGATTCAAGAGGTGCTCATAGGTTTCTCTTTGTGGGTAGTAGGAAATAACACAATTCCTACAGTTTTTTTGGGTGTGATTTACCTCATCTGCTCTCCTTTCTGGAAAGTAAGTGTAGCATTTTACCATCAGTCTGTTAGAAGTGGTCAGCAAACACGATTGCTTCCAGACAAAGATACCATGAGTCCTGATTTAGACTAAAGAAGGCAATCAC